GGCAGGTGGCTGGCTCCGCAGGTGTCAGGGCAGGGAGAGCTGGGTGCCAAGCCGGCGATCAATAATTGAGAGAGGCAGTCACGTGCCCTTGCTGGCTGTCGCAGGATTCCTCTCTCCCCAGAGTCCGGTTACTTCCAGAGATCAAGTTCCAGCCTCTTAGCTGGTGAATTATTAAACTCCAGCAGTGCTCCGTTCCCTTTGTACCACGCCTGTGTCTTCCTGCTGTCCTACCTTGCCAGTGACGGGCTCTTTCCATCCAGCCGGCTGTGCAGAAGCGGGGTCCTCCAGGCCAGTATAGCACCTTGTGCTCTCCTTCGCTCCTCGCTTCTCTGTGGGAGACAGAAAAGGCTCTGGAGATGGACCTGTCCTACAGATCCACCATCTCCATCTATAAGGTGAGTACCAACACCAGAGGCTGCTCCTGCCTGCCTAGGGGAGAGGTGAGGGTGGGAGGAGAAGGGCTGTTTTCTGCCAAAGGATCCCTTGACGGGTGGACAGCTGAGGGCTGGATCTGTCCCCAGGCTGAAGTGCAGCAGCTCCTGTGGGCTCCGGGCTGTGTTTGAGAGCAGGCGGCTGGCAGGAGGGGAGGGGTGGTGTGGGTCTTAAGGCAGATCCATGAAGGAATTGGGCAACCAGGGTGGTTTGGACACGGACCAAGTTTATGAAGGGTGACACACCTTGGTTGCCAGTAGGAAGCTGGAGCTCAGTAAGCTGTTTTCCCCTTTGCTGGAAAGAGCAGTCTGATCTTGCGAACGCTTCCCTATGTGCATCGGTGCTGCACCAAGGTGGTGGGGGCTGGGAGAAGGGGGAATTGCTCTGGTCTGCTCTGCTGTAGGCAATAAACACCTTTGATACATACAGCAGGTAAGAGCGGAGAGGCTGGTCTGAAGTAGTCCACCCCTTCTCTTGGCAAGCTGCTGGCACTGGCAGTGCACCAAATCCTGGCCAGGAAAAAAAGTCATGTCCATGCCTGGATAATAAGCAGTGGCCCTCACCCCAACAGGCTCAGGGGTGAGGGGAAAGGCTGCTCAGATCCCCTTGCAGTTACTCCCCTGTCTGCAGTGGGTGTGGGGCCTTGGGAAAAAGCCATCTTCAGGTGACTACTTGGCTCTCCAGCGAGCTACCTTGCCCTCTAGCATTGCTCCTCTCCCTGTTGGCTGGAGAGGACTCAGGGCAGCCAAAGGTCCCAGGTACCTCGGTGCAGGGAGCTGACTTTGCGCACGGCTGTACACCACCACGGCCATCCAGCATCATGGCTGGGGGAGCTCCCTGCTGTACCCGGCCGAACCGCAGCAGGAGGGCATCGACCTGCTGAGGTCTCTGGGGCGTGGGGAAGACTGGTGTTAATGTGCTTCTGCCTGGCCACAGAATATCCTGGAGCAGTTCAACCCTGCGCTGGAGAACCTGGTATACCTGGGGAACAACTACCTGCGTGCCTTCCACGGTGAGTGGGGTCCCACATGGCCCAGGCTCCAGATTGAGCTGCTGTGTCCATCATGGGTGTTCACTGTGCATCGGGAGGGACTGCTGTCACCCAGGACAAGGCTGCTGGTCCCCCCCATGGCATATCCTCAGCTGCTCTTATTCACTTTTCTCCTGCTCCAGGACCCGCTGTTATTAGGCACAGATGGGGAGAGATGGGGTGCCCTTGCCTACAGGCAAGGTACCAGGGGGTGTCTGTCCTGTGCGCTGCTTGCTGGGGCTGGTGATGGTGGGAAGGCAGGCCAGCTCCTTACCTCCCCTCTCCTCTCCTCACAGCATTATCCAAAGCGGCTGAAGTGTATTTTAAGGCAATCGAGAAGATTGGGGAGCAAGCGCTGCAGAGCTCCACCTCACACGTGCTGGGTAAGGCTCACCCGCTTGCCATCCTCTGTCCTGTGGTGAGCCACAGTTACATTTTTTTTGGCCTTCCCCCTTAGTTAGTCCCTTTCCAGGTATTGGGGGAAGGAAAACAGCTCCTCTAAACCATGTCTCACAGTGCCAGGCCCTGTCCAGGCAGTAAGAGTCAAATTTATTGTGTGTCCTTGAATATCCCCCACTTCCCCTGTGCCTCTCTGAGATCAATGGCTGAGCCCAGCTCCTGGGATGGACCTCCAGCGACGGACCTTTCATGGAAACCAGTCCTTGCTGAGGCATCCTGCCCTGAGAGCTAAAATTTTCATCTTGGAGGAAACATTTTTCTCCTCCTTGCAGGTGTGAGGGAAAAGCTGGAGTGTGGACTGACAACAGCTGATGGGCTGTTGTCCTGCCGAGCCTGCAGCCAGCTGAAATGGCAGCTCAGAGCTGAGGGGCTTACACTCAGCAGCGCAAATAATTCTGCAGCCTAATAATGGTTGCTGAAAATACGTTCAGGGAACTGCTCTGATACTTAACACTTTAGCAAAAAACTTCCAGCAGATGTGTCCAATCTGCAGATTCCTACCCTCATCTGCGTCACCCAGCTCACACCTCTGCTCCCTGTCGTCATCTCTTCCCTTCACAGTTTCATAGTGCCAACACTGGTGAAGCAGCACCGGTGAAGCTACATCAGCTGCTGTAGCTACTTTCCTGTAGGACAGCCAGAACAGTGCACCGTAGCTGGGGTGCCATTGGGGGTGAAAATGGGGCTCATAGGGGTTGCAGCAGAGTGGAAACCCAGCACCCAGCACCCATGTCAGAGCTGAGGCTGCCTGCCAGCACCACAGGCTGTAGCAGAGCACTGGTCTGGCAGATTCGTGAGCAGGAGCAACCCCACATTGGCAGTGCCTGGGGAGTAGTGGTGGAGCTGAGCCCTGGGGAGGAAGGCTACCAGCCTCTCTCAGGGTGCAGAGAGCAGTGCGCTGCGATATCTGCTGGACTTTCACACCCATACATCATCAGCTTGAGTTGCACGCTACCGGTCTGCCTGCTTGGGCACACAAGGAAATGGCTGCAGGATTTTTCCACCCTCTCCTGTCTCTTT